AACGTCCGAGAACTCGGTTATCCTACATTCCGATATTTCACACATGCCAGCATCTGAGAAGGCGTGGTCTAGTTGGAATTACCTGACCCTGTCATCACCCTCCACCGGCAAGCAGAACATCGACCAGGTTTCGTTGACCTACAATATGAACATCATTCAGCATATCCCTCGGGAGACCTTCGGAGACGTACTCGTCACGATGAACCCCTTGCATCAGCCGAACCCAGACACGATCCAGGGGTCATTCACGTACCGTCATCCTCTCTACACACCTGCCGCTGTCCGAGCACAGAAGCTTCTTCCACGCATCCAGAACAAGAGGGGCATCAGTTACGCGGGAGCGTGGACAAAGTACGGTTTCCACGAGGATGCCTTCAGTAGTGGACTTCATGCCGCACAGGACCACCTCTATGCTAAACTCCCATTCCAATTTGTCGACTCTACATATAGCCGTGGCAGGAAACCGTCTTTGGGGCTTGCCGACTTGCTGGTGCGACTCGTCATTCTTCTAATTCAGGTATTTGCTATTAGAGTGTTGGAGAGAGCGGCAGGCGCAGCTGAGACCGCAATTTACGGGCGTCGAAACGGATGGAGGAGGTCTTTGAAGAGTGGCAAAGCTGCTTGAGTCGGCGTTATGGTGGCTGGCGTTGAACTGCTTCGTATGGCTTGACGAGATTAACAGCATCGAGCCATTGTGAATAATAGTAAATAATCAACCAAAACATCTAATACTATGGCAAAACCATGTATCCGTACTCCGGCATTCATCCTTTGTCATTGACGTTGAAATTCCTCAGGGCATCCAACTGCATTAGTTTGTCCAAGCCCGTTAAATAGAGACTCTTCAGCGGGGACTAGAGTGCAATCCCAGCGCATAGACCCCTATAACTCAATCAACCAAGTCCCGGGGGCGGAACAACCACCCCGCCCGCCCCGGTGTCTCGGGGACCGTCCGCTGCCACCAAGCTAGAGCTAGGTCGGTCCCCCAAATCCCGATGGAATGCGAAATGGCATGACATCGTCGAACGATTGGGCGCAACGTTCCCGGCAACAACCTCACGGCCTCACCCTCAACTTTCGCCCCGCGTTCGCGACCATGAACGCCCTCCCGCGCCTCCCGTGGCGCATATCCTCGCAGTCGACACAGAAATGGAGCTGCTTCTTCTGCCAGCACGCCGTCCGTCCCGCGCCGCGCAGCCTGCGGTCGCCCCCGGCCGGCCGCAGAGCGGCATCGACAACGCCTTCGCCAAAGCAGCAGCAGAACGGACCCAGCTTCGGCGGTGCGCCGTCAATGGAGCAGATCCATGCGCATTATAAACGCAAGAATGCCACGACAGCGTAAGAGAACAATTGGTGTCAAGTGGTCACAGAGGAACGTTGGGCTAAAGCGCTTTTGCGATCCAGGTACTACACACTGAGCGTCATTCTCGGCACAGTCGCCTTGTCATACGGCTCCGTCCCTCTCTACAAGATGGTACGCCTCCCTTTCTCCCCTCCCGACCCTCACCGACCCCTGATTGCCAGAAGGAACACGTCAGACACTAACTCGTACTCCTCTACAGATCTGCCAAACAACAGGCTGGGGCGGCCAACCCGTCCGCGCCCACGGCCCGGACGTGGACTACAGCGAAGACGGCCTCGCCGCGCGCCTGGTGCCCGTCACGACGGCCCCGCGCATCCGCGTCACCTTTAACTCGTCCGTCTCGGACATTCTCCCCTGGAAGTTCACGCCGCAGCAACGCGAGGTGCGCGTTCTTCCCGGCGAGACGGCGCTGGCCTTTTACACGGCGACGAACAACTCGGGCCAGGACATCATCGGGGTCGCGACCTACAGCGTCACACCTGGTCAGGTGGCGCCGTATTTCAGCAAGATTCAGTGCTTCTGTTTCGAGGAGCAAAGATTGAATGCGGGCGAGACGGTGGATATGCCGGTTTTTTTCTATTTGGATCCGGATATTGTGAATGATGTCAATATGCGTGGCATTGAGACTGTGACGTTGAACTATACGTTCTTTAGTAAGTCTTTCTTTGCTTCTGTTCTGACTGACTCCCTTCCTTAGTCACCCGCTCAGTGGCAGGTTGTGGACGAGAAGGATGGGTGAAGAGTTGCTGACGGTGCGGTTACAGAGGCCAAGTACGACGACAACGGCAAGTTCAAGGCGCCTACGCCATTTGCGAGCAACTAAAGACGCAGTCGATGTCCACGAAACACGGACGAGACGCTCTGCATCTACACACACACACACACACACACACACACACACACACACACACACACCATGTTCCCCACTCTGACGACGTGTTCTACCTCAAATCCTACTTGTATAAAAGACCCCTCTAGACCTCGTTGGTCAAGCTTGGTCAACTACTACTGTATACCCCATTGGGGGAGAGCATACCACAAGGCGTTGAAAAGAGCTATTGTATTCTGATGACTGTGGTAAAGGTGGCATATAGATATATTGTATCATGTTCGTTCTCGAGTGGTGTATTACTGTCACCTGGTGATGAAGATGTATTCGTACAGATGTAAGTTTAGTTGGTAAGGTGCCCATCAGAGAAACCTCAATCACTGTCTTGTGGCAGGAAAAGGGGGAGAAAGTGTATGCTATGACTAATCCCTGTACTTGGACGGCTTGATATCAGTCTACCTTAGAGTACCTTAAGAAACAATGGTTCGTCCTGCCTGGGCTGGAGATATGATCCCAAACCTGTCCACTATGGTCATCGGTTGAGGGGAAAGTAGCAAGAAGCTTGAGTGGTTAAGAGCCCTCATTCTGACCATGGGCAACTCGCCAAAATATGAGCTTTCGAGCTTGACTCTGGCTTTTGCATTTGCTGCAAATTTTCTATGCGATTTCCTCCTTCCTTACCTTGAGCATCAAGGAGGATGTCTCTCATGGCTCTTCAGAGATTCGCCTTATCTTATCAGTAACACCGCGGAATCCCGGTCTCGGCCGATCGAGCTCCAAGTCCCGGCCGGCCTTTGAACTTTTGCCTCTCTTGCAGGCCATGGCAGGAGCTAGGACCACCATGTTCACGCAAGACCTAAGTCACGTGCTTTCCTCCAAATTTGCAGCCCACAACGATCGAACCACCCCAACCTGCCCAAACTTTTTTTTTTTCCGCTGGTGGTGCTTGTAATCTTACTCGACTTTTCTCTGCGACGCTCAACCTCACCGAATTCCCTTTCCAACCAAACGACGTTTGTACTAACGCAGCCAAGATGACCAAGGTTAACCAGAGTGAGTATTGCTCTTGATCTATGATAGCAATTGAGATGAATTACTGACTTTGCTGCGAAACAGACATCTCCTCCTCCCGCCGCAAGTCGCGCGCGGCTCACTTCGGTGCCCCCTCCAGCACCCGTCGTGTCATCATGAGCGCCCCTCTCTCCAAGGAGCTCCGCGAGAAGTACAACGTACGTTCACTCAAAATACATTCTTCATCATGAGGGAAACCCAGTTAATCTAACTCCCCAAAAGGTTCGCTCCATCCCCGTCCGCAAGGACGACGAGGTCACCATCGTCCGTGGCGCCAACAAGGGCCGCGAGGGCAAGGTCACCTCCGTCTACCGCCTCAAGTACGTCATCCACGTCGAGCGCGTCACCCGCGAGAAGACCTCCGGCCAGTCCGTCCCCCTCGGCATCCACCCCTCCAACGTCGTCATCAACAAGCTCAAGCTTGACAAGGACCGTGAGTCCATCCTTGAGCGCATCAAGGTCGGCCGCGAGCTCCGCGTCAAGTCCAAGGCTACCGCCTAAATCTTCATTTCTTCTTCCGGTCTCAATCGTCATGAACCAATGACTCCTTCTCCTTCTCAAGTGACGGGGGCTTGATCTTAATACAATCAAGTTCTCACTCATGACGGGTTGGAGGAGCAAAACGACCAAACATCCAAAAGCGGCAGTTCAAGGGAACCGGTACAATCTTCAAAAACAAAAACGGCGGCGGCGGGACATGACAACGATATCCACATCTTCGGCGGCGTTTTTCACGACAGGACCTTTGACGCGTTTTGGCATTGGCAAATAACCAAATTTGCCTGGAAAGGGAAAAGAAAAAGCACGAGGGAAGCAAGGCTAAAAAGGCAACAAAAAAGTTCTAGAAAATGAAATCGAGAAATTTCGTTTTCTCAATGGCCACCTCACGTCTTCAAACCCGTGAGATGCTCCATGGGAGGTCTTCCCGAAGCCACCACCGTCCCCTTCCGCCCCGCGGAGGCGGTGATGTCTCTTGCTACATTATCCTGTGACCATGCTAACCTATCTGTTGCTATTGACTGGCCAGAACACGAGTTCCCCTACATGAATTTGGAACGTTCTTGAACGGTAGGTTTTCAACATGACCGTGTAAAATACCCGCTAGGATATCTCCGCGTTAACCAATAAATCCATGGTTTTCGAGGTATACGACTGGCGAAGAGCAACCCCCGGAAGAGGTGGAATCACCACCTCTCCCACTCGCCCGAAGATTTTCACTGAGCTTTGTCCATGAGGCTGGGAATTTGATGGTGAGATACATAATATCTCCTTCTGTTCAGCTTTTTACGCTCAGTTAGCAATTAATACATCAAGAATGCTTCTGCATCACATATGACCAAGACACATCGAAATGTCACCTCACTCTGAGAACATGTGCGTATGAATTGGGATCATTAATGCTAGCATAACCTGACTAATTCGGTCTTCATGAACCATGCCATCAATCCTCCACCTTCCTTTAGAGAGTACTGTGCCAAGGCCGGGTTGTATAAGCTGTGTATTAAGAATCACCTTCTCACAACATAACGCCGACCGACGGCTCCTGAATACTCGTAATCAATGCCTTGATATTGGAAGCCGCCATAGCACTGTCTGTCTCAAAATAATCCGTACAAGTGTTTAGAACGCGTTTTCGTAATCATTGTAGAGTAAGTAGATGCCAATGGCGTTGCAGCTGAGATGTTCACTTGATTCGCTAGAGTTCTTCAGTCAGCTTTACCACAATTACCAGCCCACTCAGTGGACATTGCTCACGATGGAAAGGCCGGGAGGTTGGTTCTCAACGCGACCATCAGCTGATGCGACAAGCAAGCTCTGACCGGCATCCAGTTTGCCATTGTCATTCAGCTTGGAAGGCGACAGGCGGGTGGACTGGTTTGCAGTGTTGGCGATGGCGGGCGACAAGGAGGCTGCGGCATGGCCGATGGCATACTGAGGAAGATAGCCTTGGGCATTCTCCGAAGTGACAGCTCCCGGAAGAGCAGTCGCAGACGCAGTGACTTTCTCCGACCAATTACGAACGCTACTGTCAAGTTAGTAAGTATGATGCATGAAGCTTGGTGAAGGTTGCGACTGACCACGAGTTGAAGTAGGCTCTCTCGGAGTCGGACTCGATGACGTTGTCCGACGAGATCGTGCTGTCCTTCGATTTGTCAAGGCCTTGGCTGTTGAAGTGGGCAACAGGGCGAGACTTGTTGCGGCGCTTCATGGGCGAGGTGATATTGTCTGACTTGGTGTCTCTCTTCAGTTCCTTCACTACTTGCTCCATGTTTGGGCCAGTCAATCTCTCCAAGGCGGCGAAAGGATTTTTATCTCCCTTGATCGCGCGGCGATACTTTTCCTCGAGCCGTGCAGCTGAGCGTCCATCGCTGACTTCGCGGCTAGGTGGCTTCTCAGGCGACGGCAAATAGAAGCTCCTACCGTCGAAGAAGGGGAAGTTGACTCGAAGGTGCGCAGGTGCGTTGCTCCAGAAGAGATGCTTGGCCATCTCCTCTTCCTGGTTGAGAGGGCGGTGGTAGACGTAATCTTTGATATCAGGACTAGGGTCCATGCCAAAGGGCACTTGGCCAACCAGGTACGCCTTTGTCAACTCAGGATTCTCACGAATGATTCTCTCGAATTTCTCGTCAAGAGCGGGCGTGGGAGGGGCGCCTGAGAGGAGACGATCAGACTCTTCCTTCTTTCTCGGTAGGATACCATGGAAGACTTTGTCGCCAGCCTCTTTGTCTGCCTTGGGCACAGCCGAGACTGGAGGAGTGTTCTCGTTGGAGCGGCGAATGTCAGAACGAGGCTGGAAAACCGGCGCCAAAGCAGCAGAGACAGGAAGGCCAGTAGATTGTTTACGGAAGTGGAGTGAATCGAATTCCCTGGTCTGATGGTGTCCCTTAGGGTCGAAGGGAACAGGCGAGATGGTCGCGAATACGGTGGAGTTGATGTATGGGGCAGACGCCGCCGAAGTGTCCACGGCAAGCTTGAGTTTGTCCCTCTTACGATGACGAGAGTTCTTGGGCTCCTCGGTCATATTCGAACGAGCGATGTGAGCTGGGTCGTTCTTGATATCTGCATCGCCTGACGAGTCAGACGTGAGCGTCTTCCGAGACTCGGCAGCGGCCGGCTTTGACTCCTTCGATGTCTTAACCTCGCTGGCGTCCTTTGCGTCGCTGCGCTGAGAAATAGTGCTGTCTTCGAGTGCGAGTTCACCCTTGAGCTTGATCTCAAAGTGCTCGATATCGGAACGAAGCTGACGGGCGTACTCTTCCATATGCTTCTCATCGATCTGATGGCGATTGTAAGCCAACTGGGCCTCTGCTTTCTTGAGGCTGGATCGCAGGCCCGCAAGCTGGTTCTTGGTGATGATGCTAGGTCGAATGGATGAAACTGGGCAACTCTCGACTGGCGCGTTGGGGGTGAAGGACCTGGCGCCTGCCGTAGGCATAGGCTGAGAAGGTTGCTGATACATCATGGGCTGGCCCATCGTCTGGCCCATGGGACCAAATGCCATCGGCATCATTGGAGCACCGGAGTACGTTGGACCACTAGAGTATTGCATACCCATCGGCATCATTGGATGAGGTGGGAGGAACCATTGTCCGCCAAATGGAGGCATGGGCATAGGTCCAGTGTTGGGGACGACACCACCGTGCTGATCTTTCTCATTCGCATTGCCGACAGGAATCATGCCGCTGTTCAGAGGGGCAAACTGTGCTTGCGCCGGAGCCTGGGGAACGCTGAAAGGGGGCATTGCAAATCCGCTGAAAGAGACCATGGGATTCGGGCTTGGTGCCATCATTGGGAAGGCATGTTGCATGGCCGGATGAACAGGGCCCATCAAGGGGGGTCCTGGCATGAACTGGCTATTGAAGGCTTGTCCCAAGGACGGCTGTACACCATTGACGTCCATGTTGGTTCTCTCTCTACTACTCTTTCCGGTAGGAGAAGAGTGGGAGGCATCCAGGGTATTGGGGACGATTCTGCCTCCGGCGGTGACGCGGACGTGAGTGGGAGATCGGACGGCTTCGTAGAACTGCTCAAAACCCTTGCGCTTCTGGTCAGGGAGGACAGGTCGCTGAGAAGGTACTTCAGGCTGAATTTCGGGCTCGGCATCTTGTCCATCGAGCTGTCGACCGGCAGGTCCATCAAGCTGACTGACGTCTGCAGTGACATGACGAAGTGTACGAACAGGTTTGTCATGGAGGGGAGCAGTGACTTGAGGTGCCTGAAGCTTGGTCGGTGCTTCATACTCCGAGTCACCAGAAGAGGACTGTCTGACCTCCATGTTGGCACGAGAGACCAGAGGAGCTCTCTGGTGGACAAGGGGTCGCTTGTGACGCATGATGCCTGCTGTGGAAGAGGTCAGTAGTGTCTTGGGCCTGGAAGGCCGGAAAGGGAAGGACAGCGTACTGAAGATGGGATTCTCTTTGGCATTCTCAAGCAGCCTCTGCTCGAGCAAGCATTGCAGCTTGGTGCCACGGATGGCCAAGAGCTGGCTGATGCTGTAATGAGTCAATTCCATTGGATTGGTCTCGACAAGCATGTCAAGGAGACTAGGAGCTCAGAGCAAGTGAGGTCGTTCGCTATCGACGTACAGTTAGCCAGGTGTCGATTGGGTACGGGAAATAATATAGCCAGATGTGAGAAAATTTCTTGTGGCACTGCTCAGCTCCCAGTAAACGCTGATTCCGAACTCCAGGCATTTTGTGTGAATCCCTTTCCAAGGCGGCGGTGACAGCATTCGAGGAGTGGCTGGTCGGCAGTGATAAGGCAGGGCGTGATTGCGTCAATCTCGCTCACTTGAGCAATGGATAATTTGAGAAGGAAACTCGTCTGAAACCGAAAAAGTAGGGACAGTGGCGTGAACAAAAGCACTTACCAGGGCCAACGGGGCGAAATCGCAGGTCGGCAAGCTTTGTGAGGGCTGATATGCAATATAAGAATCTGCTGGGTGAGTTCAGCACGACCAACCCGACAGAAACGAGTGCTGCACAAAGGGTTGGAGTTGGAGATGAATCGGTAGACTTCCAAAAGTTGGACACCAAAGCAAAGTGAAGCTGGGTTGGCGATGGTGAGCTTGGATTGTGTGGTATGACGGAGGGAGGATCGAGGATCGACCGAGTGATGTTGTGGGGAGAGGAGAGAAGTAAAGTGAAGTGTTGGGGAGAAGGAAGGGTCCTGGGGGCCGATTTGGTCAATTATTTTGTTAGAAGGCGAAGAGAAATTTTCGACAGGCAAGTGCTAGGCAAGATTGTGATCCAGAAGCGATGAGTTGAAGGGAAGGCGGTCACTCAGGTGCGTGGTGATGTGCAGGAAGGTGCGAAAAGGGTTTGCCTCACAGCAAATAACATACCTGAGGAAGGAATCCCCTCTAGAAGCGATGATATATCTGGTGAAAGATGAAAGAAAAAACAGTCTTCAAGCCCAGCAATTCTTTTCATCTTTTAGTATGTAAGCCTGAACAACGATCTTCAAGGGAGATTTAATACATGTCAAACTTTCGCATGGGCAACTTGAGGATACGAAGTTCACATGATACAGACCACAAGAATCTGTTGACAATAATTCATATAAGGAGTGAGTGAGGATGTGAAATCGCTCGTATCCCATCGCATGAGGTACGAAAACTAGACGTTATACCTCGTAGGCGATGCCCATTTCTCACTCTGAAGACTGCACTAATGCTTTATTAATGTCTTTCATTACTTTACTCATTTCGCTTGAACCTTTCACCACTCTTTCCTTATTATGGCTTCACAAAACTACTTCCTGTCTGATCAGTACAATATTCTTTGTTTTTCTATGGTGTCCTCAGTAAGGCCTGCTGACGGCAAGTCCAAGTCAAAGGCGGTTCTTGAGCAGTATGGATCACGGGAAAGAGTGCCTATGAAGTAAGTTACGTGCAGTGCACAAATTGTGGACGTGAGGAAGCTACAAGTGCCATTGTATTACAACGTTGCTTTGGGACACAGCACTGCCCTCCTCGATTCCGTTCATGTGTGAGCCTAAGGCAAGGTACCTTCGTGTTTTCTCTCCTACCACCTTCCCAATTCTCCAAACTCATTTGATCCATTAAATCTGAACATCGTTCATTCAATTCCCATTACAAAAGAGACTATTATCCAGGTCCGGTGACGTTTTCAACGTTGGCCGACATTCTCAACAGGGGAGGAGAAGCCAGGCTTCAACACTCTCAAGGCCTAAGAACCCACATTACCTCCATTCCAAGGAAATGTTCGCAACTCCGATGAGTCTCCGCTGCTATCCCACACATCTATCGAAGGCCCTCTCAATTTGAAGCCTCTGAAGTAGCTTTGCGATACTAAAAAGCGCTCGATGTCCACCACTGAAGTTCCTGATGGAGGCCCGTCGTAGCCTCTTGACGGGAAAAGAAAACCGTGCGGCCCAGTCGATTTTCGAATCGGAGCCCCAAGACGAGTTTATTAGGCTATATGGAGGGTAAATTGACGACTGAAATGTTCCAGTTCTTTTCGGCTCCAAGGCACGCATTACGGAACTCCTCGGCGATTATGTCCAACTACTGTCGTCTACCAGAATGTTGAGATAGGAGCTGATCATTTATAAAAGTGAAGATATCTGCATGTTCGACCTTGATATCCAAAGTTCGGATGCCGTTCTAGGTTCAGGATCGCCGTCGGTCATCTGGGTTGTCGGGGACAGGGACTGGAGGGTCAGGCCGAGGCTTGGGATGTGGCTTGTTGTTCTCTTCCAGGAGAGAAAGGCTCAAAGTCGATCGCATCGTTCTGTCGGTGTGCTGGATAGAATGGTACAGTTCTCTTGTTCAGAAAACCCGATCAAGTTGTACCTTTGTCAGACTGCTAACGTGTATCTAGAAGAATGCGGCTGGCCAAACGAGGCAATGAATTCGAATAAGAATGGGACTGCCGGCAGTTCAGAGATGCGACATCTGAATGAACATAATAAGAAAGACGAGCTGGAATAGACTGAAGAAAACGGACGGACGCCCGACAATTTACATCTTTTCGAAAAGCTTCCTTCAGGGCTTGCCTCGCCTTGCTACCGGTATACCACCCCGCCCCACCCTCATGAGCCCAAGACGCTCGAGCGGCGGGATGGGTTGGGTGCGGAGCACGCAAGCCCATTCGAGGACCTCCCAGGTGACTCAAAGACAGGGACATGAGTACATGGTCTTGGTTCTCCTATAGGATTGTTTGCCGAAGGGGGAGCACGTGGCTTTGAGCAATGAAACCCCTTGATAGTTTGATCAACGGGAGGAAGAACGAGAAGAACGTACATCAACGGGCGGCGGCAACGGGCGCCTCCCAAGATGCCCCTCAGTATTCTGCCGATATGACAGGCCCGTCCTGAAGTCTACCGATGGCGCACAGGCTCTCCTCTGTCACACTTTCTTTTTATATACCAGGAAAATATCACGGAAACTCATGGGCAGGGGCAGGGATGCAAACCCTGCTTGGTCCGTCCAGCTGACGACGATGACAAAACACGAGACCGAATATTGGGAGACAGCGGAACACAAGGCATTCAGGGCAGTCCGGGTGGCGTGTCGGCGTGAGTGTTGCTGCGTATTGGGGCTGCGCGTGTGCTATCTCCGTGGTCCTCCTATCGCCAGCGATACGCAGGTCGGTAAGATTTCTGCTCAACAAGGGCATCGAGGACAAACGTCCCGGCCTAGCCGTCAAGGTTGGTTGGGTTCGTTCGGTGAGCGGCAGATCGACTTGTGCGGGGTCCTCGCACATTGGGCTTCGACAGGGAAGGTCTCGAAGAACGGAGGGCAGTTCCGGAAATTGGTCAGGATTGTACGGCCTTTGACAGGTTGTTTCCCGCAACGCTGAGCCCTCTTGGTCGCCATCGCTGCCCCTCGACTGGAGCTTGTCACCAAGCTTTTGCGTCCTGAAACGACAGGGTCGTGAAAACGGCGACAGGGGTCCTAGCTGGAACTGAGCGGCCCGTGGAATGGATGACAACTGCCTCAACAAGAAGGCATGGGCTCACTCAGCTTGAGGCTTGGAGGAAGCAAGATGGAACCGGGGCCACCCTTTGTTCGAGACTCGTCTGAGGTTGCGTTGTGCAAGACAAAAGGCGGAATATCGCGTGTCCCTTGCTGTAGTAGGACCAGAACCGATGCGGCGGGTCTTGCATCCGGAAGTTGGTCCGAGAGCCACAACCCGCGGCCCCGTTCCGGTAGCTAGGCCCGGCCACAGGCCGCCCGTGAGCGTCGCAGGCCTCCCGATCATGGCTGTCACGTCCCGCCTTCGTCTCTGTGCATCTTCAGGAATGTAATATTTCCTATCGCGGCCTCAGAACCGATCACACCATCTGATCTGTGGCACAAGAGGAGCTCCTCTTCCGCATGACATCAGCCCAATTTGGAGAGAAACAAGCTGCGGTCTGATGATTGTGGCTGATCAACAATAAGCGGCCGTGCCATTGAAGCATGCGAGCGCGGGATGTCAGGACGGCCCGAGCAACGGACGTTTGCAACCGTCGCATGTGTTTGGCGTTTAATCCCTGGTATGGGCCTTTGATCCATCGAAATTGCTTACAAAGTCGCAGTTGACTGGCCTGACTCCACGACCTTGGAAACATGACCGAAAGAATTGATCACAATTTCGACAGCAGATTGGGCACCGAGAAAGTACTGCAGCTCTAGCTGAGACTTCGGAGCTGAGCTCCTTGCACCGCCGAACTGCTCCCTGGAGCTTTCCAACCGACATAAACACAATGTCGACCGGACAGCATTGGACACTCTAGATTGAAAAGCTTCTCTTGTTTTTGGGGGACCAAAGACACCCAATACCAGAATACTGCAGTAAACGAACGGACATGCGGGAGTGACATCGACGGTCAGACGAAGTAAAAAACAGCCCAGGTCTTTACGAATAATATGTTCCAGCCAAGTTAACCGCGACCTGGGTTCAACGTTCCTGGGGCACAGAACAACGAATTTGCGGGAACAGACACGTCTTCATTCAACTGCTGAGTTCTGGTGTACAGCGTGCGGAACGCCGCATTGCGTACCTCGACTCACCCATCGACGATGCCCCCACGCTTCAGCCTCGGTCATCGGGCGAAAGCACCGAGGAACAAGGAGGACAATAATAGGGGCTGGGCCGGCTATGGCAAGCCGGAACGAAACCCCCCCCCCCCCAAAACCCCCACACTGGAACCCTTTCGAAGATTCCCAGAGTGCCAGAGCTTGGACTTGTTTTCGCCAGAAAGTCGTCGACTTGTCTGTCAAAAGAGGGGCAGAGTCGCCCAAATGAGGGGTACTCGGAGCACCCGTGGCACCCTCAACCTCATCATGCAGAGTTGAGAGGGAGAGACGAACGGTGAACCCCCAACCCTCCAAGCCACCCCGTACTGGCCCTGTATCATGACTTGCAGCTAGACTAGTCATAGACTAGCCGATGCATGTATTCCGCACTCTCTCTGCACCGTCAGGGGCTCAGGATGGACCGTCTTTGGCCGGATTCGTCGGCGAACCTCCAGCCATTGGTCAGGCGGTGGATGAGCCTCTCTTTTACCGCAACAACCGGACAGGCGCCGGGGACGGCCTGCATTGTTTGGACGCGATTTCACAAGTGTTACCTACGAATATGCACTTGCTGAATTGGCTTCTCTCATCGTCCATCCATTGCCCCGCAACCCTTGCCTGCAGGAGCATTGCGGAACGACGGTCCCCCGCAATTGGAATGCACAAAAGGAAATGCATGTGAGGCGGGCGACAATATGAGCGATCCAGAGACAATTGAGCTCCCCGACTGGCTACAGCAGCTAGACAACTACCTGTGAAACCTTGGACAATCTTGGACAACCTAGGACACCCGTGGAACAGCTCGGCACATGTTGATGTCAGATGGTTTACCCCTCCTCTTGTACAAGAGATGAGGGTATTCCATACGGTCACTTCGGCCTGAACTCTGGTCTCCCTCTTCTCTAACCTCTTGTCACCTCTCTCCCGTCTTTCATCCATACTTCCCAAATACCAAACCTTTTTGCCTGTATTATCTGTACTAAACACCAACTCTAACGAAAGACCCTTTCTCATTTCCTATTCAATTCCCACACTTCGGATCCTGCCCCACGTTGGTCTAGCTCCCTTCCGCTTTCAACATGTGACAGCAAGCTGACCCAGCGAAGAGGAACGAGTCCAACCACACCCTGTTCCAGGATCTAAACGAGACGACGACGACGACGACGACGACAACGACGACCGCGGCATCGCCAACATCGACCCGAGAATTCTCACAATGGCACCACTTACGCCCCATTGGACCCAGCCGTCCCACCCGGACATCCAGGATGTCGTCAAGGCGAGCGAGACAGAGTTTCTCACCAAGAGCTTCTCCAAGGTCTCTCTGCCGCCCTTTGCGGTCTACGCAAAGATGTCCTTCCCACCGTGCGATCTGGCCGACGAGCCAACGTATGCTACCGTTCAATGCGGCAAAGCCAAGCACTTGAACCTCAACAGTGACCTGCTGTACATTAACCACTCGTGCGAACCGTCTCTTGTTAGTCATGCCGCTAAGAAAGCACAAACGTCTACTTCCAAGTTCCCCCAGAACCTACCCCGGGTCGGGGACAGGGACATCCTGGAAGATGTGAGATTGACAGTTGCTATTTATAGATTTTTGACACGGGCAACTTTAATGTCCTGGCTGGGCCGAAAGGCCTTCAGCCCGGTGATGAACTGACAGTAAGTTATCACATTTCACCCATTGACTCCGGGCAACTTTTGGTCCGGTGGGGGGGAGGTCTACTGTCTTTGAGGGCCTGGAGAGAGAGGGCAATCGGGGAAAGCACCCACTGACATTATGTGCTACCCAGTTCTTCTACCCCTCCACGGAATGGCACATGGCCCAGCCGTTCGACTGCTTCTGCGGCACCCCCTCGTGCCGTGGCAAGATCGGCGGCGCACGCGACATGTCCCGCGCCCAGCTGGAGGGCCTCTGGCTCAATGGCCACATCCGCGAGCTCCTTGAGGAGCGCGACTCGGGGGCTCGCTCTGAGAACGACGACCCCACGGCCCAGGCGCTGAGAGATGCCCTCAAGGCCGCCGAGCGCGTCGTCGAGGCAGCTCGCTCCGCGCTGAGGAGCTACACCGAGTCCACCACCGGCAACAGCAACGGAGCCCAGCAGCATCAGCAGACGGCCAAGAACGGTGTCAATGGCTCGAAGGCAGGCCGCAACGGCGCTAGTGCCAGGGAGTTGGGAGGCGAGTTGGGCGGCGACACGCGCGCTGCGTAAAGGGATCGGGTCCATGTTCTCTTTGCATTCCATCCATCTACCCGTATGCTTTTTCTTGAGACTAAAACTAAAACGGTGATGGGGGAGCGGCTTTGGCTTGGCCCGTGACGTGTAGGAGGGACAACTCAACTTGTCTTCTTCGCACTCTTCTTTTGCGTTGGTTTTTCCTACTTTGTTTATGCGATATTCAACATCTCGCTTTTCTTCCAACTGCTCTAAATGCAAGTACGCTACAAGTACGAGGTTCAGAATGGAACCTGAAGATGAGAAGAGGTGGCGGAGTTGAGGATCGCGGAAAATAGAATGGGGGACACAAAAAACAGAGGGTGTAGTTTGAAGACAGTGTGAGGGAGAACGAGGTAGACTTCAAAACGATCATTCCTACAACCAAATGTCTTGACAAGTGTGAATGTCACGACTGTGGAAGCAAACGCCATTTGGCCATTTTCCATGATCTTTTTGTTGCTTTTTTATCACATTTCTTTGATTCTGGATTCTACGCGGGAACGAATATAACTCTCTAAGACTCCAGATGCCCCCCATACCAGACCCGTACAACCCGTTGAAAAAACAAGTACACCGCGATACAGTCATACATAGTGTCACACGCCGATTCCCACGACGTTGTATACTACAGCAATCCGAGTAGCAGTTTTCTTTCATATGAAACCGCCACTTTTTGTTTTGTGTTATCCGTTTTGACCCTTCTCGTGAAGACGTCATCCGTCCTTACTGCTTCTTATCCTTATCCATCCAACGATCACCCCAGCTCGTACGGCGTCCCTTCTCGGTTCCGACGCCGCCGACGTACTGGCTCTCATTCTCCTCCCATTCCTTGCGCTCGACGATACGACGAGCCAGGAACGCACGCGCAAACTTCCACGACTCGGTATCAGCCAGGTTCCACGCCTCGACGGCCCCGCGGATCGAAAGCTCGCGCGCGTCCTTGGTCTTGCCCATGTCGCGCGCCCTCTTGAGCAAGGGCTTCTCCTTATCGAGCTCCTCGGCGGTCGGGATGGGTCCGTCAGCGGGGTCGTGCTTGGGCTGCGGGCGGCGCTCGGGGCCGGGGACGGGGGTCTGCGATGTGCCGTCTGTGGCGTTGTGGGGGATGGCGAAGCCAAAGTGCCAGTCGAGGTCCTTGGGGAGGTCCTTTTCGGCCGTGAGCCAGAGGGAGTGGGCGGTCGCGAACTCGCCGGCGACGGCCTCCTTGAACTTGAGGACGCGCGGGGAGCTGCCGATGCCGACGCCGAGGAGCTCCGTGGTCACGGCGCCGAGCCAGGCGTCACGCTCGGATTTGCGGCGGAGCCAGGGGATCTCGACCGTGTCCTGGAGGTTGGAGAGGAGGGCGGTGGTATAGGGGTGCGGCACGGTGCCGATAGTGTAGAGGGTCGAGGTGTTGCGGTAGCGGGGAGGGGTCGAGACGTGCATGGGCTGCGCGGGGACGCAGGGCTTGCACTTGGGGTTGTTGGGCGGACAGGAGGAGGGCATGGGAGAGTCGGGGCACATGGAGAGGTCGTTGGCGAGGTCCCAGGCGTTCTTGATCAGGTTCGTCATATGTTGAGGCAGAGGCTTGAGGACGGCGATGCCGTCTGAGAAGACGTTCTGCCAAGTCGTATGCAGGTGGCCGTTGATGAGGTTCTTGAGGGCCTTAAGACCGCCGGCACGGTCTGCGGCGATGGCCTCGCCGACCTTGGGGTACTTGTCCTGGATAACCGCAACGTCGTAGTAGGCGATCGCCTTGGGGTAGTTGTCAATCTTGAAGGTGTCCTCGGTGGCAGCAGCGACGAAGTCCTTGGCCTCCTTGAGCTTGGAGCTGGCCATGGTAGCCTTGATGGCGTTTGTAACTTCCTTCTCGCCGCCGGCAAAGAGACCGTTGCCCAAGTTGTTCCAGCGGGTGAGCTCTGGGTACTCGCCACGGCGAAGGTAGGAGAGGAGGGGATCCTCGTGGGAGCCCATAGGCAGAGTGGTGTGGTAGGCGAGCAGGCCACCACGCATGTTGTCCCAGGCCAGCCAGCGCATCAGGTCGGTCTTGAGTTCAGCGTCCATCTCCTTGCGCTGAAGCTCGTCGTAGAGCGGGTTCTTCATAGCCTCAGCGGCACTAAGGATGATGGGCTTGAAGCCGCGGGCCCACCATGCGCGGCGCCAGAGGAGGAGGAGCTCGCTCTCGGCATCCTTGCTTGCGGCGTCCTTCTTGATCGTGGTGTCGTAGTAGCAGTAGATGGCCGGGCGAGGCTTCAGGGGAGGCAGCAGGGAGCGCTCCTCGTCGAGTGTCAATGAGGAAGAGAAGGGCACAGAGAGCCACTTCCAGTCCGCCCACCAGGAAGACTCGCCATACGTATCATTCTGTTGACGCGGGGGCGGGTGTGAGGGGGACTTGAAGGGGTTCAATCGGCTGGAGGCGCCAAATGGGTTCTTTAAAGCTGAGGGTATCGAGAACTTGTGATCGGTGTACTTCGATAGGCTCGGGCCAGCGGGGATGGCGCTCGGAAGGGTGAAGATGAGAGAGAAGACGGCGAAGATGGAGATGCTGACGAGGAGGAAGGAGATGCGTCTTGTGCCGATGCGGGGGAGCGGCCGTCCAAATATCATGTGTTGCTTAGGCATGATGGGCGAGCTAGGCGTAACCGACGATGAGGCTTCGGAAATTCGGGGCCTTGGAGGGCCGTAGGCCGAGTGGGATGGATCAATTGAGGTTATCGTGGGTCGATGGAGTCGAGTCGATTCGATTCGATTCGATTCGTAATGGTCGAGCTCAAGGGTATGACATGTGGGCAGGGAGCTCCAAACACCAAGCCAAGCCGAAGAACAGACACCTGGCTTGATGAATAAGAGAATGGAGATCAAACCGATCGCAACTACGATAAGGAAAGAAAAGTGCAAAAGCGGTTGAAGAAGAGAAATTGACCCTAAGCGAAAGGCGGAAAAGTTTAGCTGTCAGAAAGGGCCAGGGAGCTGCCCGTGTGAGAGGCGAAAAGTGAAGACACGCGACGATCGTGGTTGAAGGTTCGTCGTCAATTCACTGTTCCTCCTCCTTCATCCCTTTTTTTTTCCCTTTCCTATCTCTCTCGGGATTGGGGAGCTGACGAAGACACGGTCGGCACACGGCATAAGGCACAGCAAGGGGGAACCTGAAGGCAACAGTAGCACGGCAGGTATCAGCCAACCAACATGCCGTGCAAAATGACATCCCGTCATCCCACCCTCCGATCCCCCCTGGAATTTCTGAACGCGTAACTTTACGTGAAGCAAGGATCCTAATGTGGCCGATAAGATACCTGAGGCGCTGCTCGTACCTAGGTACCTTACCTATCCGATAGCGATAACAAAGTGGCTGGAGCTTGTGGCGGGGCTAAACTGTCTCAATTGAACTCCTCCATTCGTCTGCTTGCCATCTTTCAATGTTTTAAGTTAGGTAGCCATCGCGATGCTTCATCCACCTAATGCCTATTCTTATGCCAAGGTTCTCTTCTAAACGTAATGAGCATTGTAGTATTCTTCAAATGAGTCAGCCGTATGCAAACCATATACTCCGTACAGACTCTTCGCGACCTCGACTACACGAAGTCTTGGCCGGCGTGTTCGTATTGCTGTAGCCCAGCGGCACAGCGTACCTATTCTCAGCCAGGATCGTGTCTACCAACCATTCAATTAGCCTAAGAAGCATTCATTTCATTGCAACGTTTTCTCAGGAATGATGCCTCAATCAGGCCTAGTCAAGGCAGACTCGAGATGAGTCGCAAAGCCCCAAAGTCCCCTGAGCAAACGGCACAGTAACCGTTGGTAAAAGTGCATATCATGAGGCGTGTGTTTCCTCTGTCAGATCTCATTAGATTCTGTTGCTATTTTTCTCATCTCTCATTATGTTGCGTCTCCACCAGCTTTCGCTCAGTCGAGCGTTCTTAGGAATATTATCTTTCGCGATACTACCCGTCCGAGCTGCTTACTTCACCGAACCGCCAAGTTTCGAACTTGACCGAAGTGGTGCCCGAGTAACCGTCCCAGATCTCAACGGCACTTATGTGCTTGGACAAAAGGTTCACATCACATGGGAGGTCCCAACTGTGCCGTGGATCTCTCTAAGTCTAGTGCACTGGGGACAGGATGCCGGCATAGCTGTCGCGTCTTTCATTAGTAAGATCGACAATATGGCAAGGTACTCCAGCATGACAATGCTAACTGGCGCCTTGCGAAGCCAATGATAGAAACAATGGGTATTACACCTGGTACATTGGAGAAAGAGATGGCATCACGGAGGAGACCATAGCCACAAACCCAAACTTCGCTCTGAGACTTATCGACCCAACCGGCAATTACACCCAAACTGATGCGCCTGCGGGCTTCATTGGAAATGCACTGCAAAGCCGCGGCTTCGTCGTCAAAGCAAACGCAACGTCTGAGCCAGCGACGGAGTCGGCCGCCCCTTCAGCGGGCTCATCGAGCCTCTCCACCGGCGCCGTGGCCGGAATCGCCGTCGGATGCGCAGCGGTCGGGGCTCTCCTAGCAGTGGCTCTCTGTTTCTGGTTCCTGCGCAGGCGCAACCGGCCGGCACATGCTTCGAACACGGGCAACCAGGCTCGCCATCCCACGCCGACGCTTCACCCCGTTGTACATCAGCAGATACGCCACGACTCGGCATACGCTAGCCCGAACTCGTCCGGCGACCACATGTTTGTGGTGCCGCCGGCGCGTCAACTGTCGCATCAGACTAGTAATGTCAGTCCGATCAGCAGGCGGCAAACTCCTCCGCCATCGTACCCGTCGCCTGTGGACGAGTACCAGAGTCCAATGACGGAGCTGTCTGGTGTACGAGAGCCTCAAGAGGTGCCGGCGACAAATTCAAGGGGCCGATCAGAACTTTCGGGATCTCAGAGAGCTTGATTTAATAGGGCGAGACATCTTTGTATGAGGGGTGCGGACTGAGGTTTCACCTACCAGAAGAGAGCAGCAATGACCTGTGAGATGAGCCAAACGGATGCGGGGGCAAGCAGCATATTGATGAGTGTTTAAAGATACCGTAGCCATTATTGACAAATTAATACTTTCCGGCCGTCAAGCTGTCCTCCGGCTTATACAGTATAGTGAAGTGACCATTATTTGACCTCATGCTCGAATGGCTTAGGGAGACCAAGGGCATTTCACAAAGACTTTGACTATGGGTTTGCGAACAGAAGACTGTTGCCGACAATATGATTGTGATCATTTGAAATAGCACATAAGCCAAGTAAAATTTATTTTACTAATTATCACAGCAACGCATTTCAAAAGTTGATTAACCTTACCATCAAAGACATATCTCTGACGTCGCCGCGCTTTAGCCTAAGAATACTTCAAGGAACAGCCAATCTCTAACCAATGGAAGTTCCTCAAAAACTGTTCGGATCAAATAAGTCAGTGGATTAAGCGAACTCCGTAACTGTAATGAATATCTCTTGGTGCCAAAAGACAATCAAGGTAGTTGAATGAGTCTAAACCATGAGAGCAGCCTCTAACTTGATCTCCATTACTCCGCACTCTGTTCCGCAGTTGGTCAGCCCCATATTTGTTAGCGCAGCTATGGCCCGTCTCCGAAGACGCTGGAAGTTCAATGACTCTACAATTCAACCTCACCTCAACTTTCATAGCCAAAAAATCCCTTACCTCGTTTCACTCACTCACTCACTATCTCACCCGCAGCACTCAGCAATACGACAACCCCGGTTAACCCTGCAATGACCGACGCCCAGCCCGAGATGAAGATTGATCCCTCGAGAGCAAAGGCTCTGGTTTCACAGCTGCAGTCCGTTCAGGAGCGCGTGACAGCCGTCGCTGCTGGGCGAAATGTGAGTCGGCCCTCTGGATATCTCTTGGAAACATTGTTCGGAATCGGAGAGAGAAGAAACTAGGGGGAACCTCTCTTCGCGAAGATGGAAAGTATGTTTTGTATGGGATAGATGCTGATTCTGTGACAAAAGGTTCGGTTAGTGGCAGTCTCAAAGCTGAAGCCAGCCAACGATATCCTGGCGCTGCACCAGCAGGCCACGCCGCCGCAGGTGCATTTCGGCGAGAACTACGCACAGGAGCTGGGTCAGAAGGCGGAGATGCTGCCCAGGAGTATTCAGTGGCACTTTATCGGTGGTTTGCAGTCAAGTAAGCGTTTCCTCAAAGACTCCTCATACGCCCCTCGCCCTCCCCTGCATAGTTCTTAGGTAGCTGACGCTTATCCAATAGCACATGCAAAGAAGCTGGCCAAGATTCCAAATCTCTTCTGCGTCTCCAGCGTAGACACCCTGAAAAAGGTCCAGCTCCTCAACGCCTCGCGCGCGGAGCTCATCTCTTCGTCATCAGGCGACAGCCCCGTGGAGCCGCTCGGCGTGCACGTGCAGGTCAACACCTCGGGCGAGGAGTCCAAGTCCGGCGCCGAGCCGGGCCCGGAGACGGTCGCGCTCTGCCGCGCCGTCGAGGAGGAGTCGCCCGCGCTCAAGCTGCTCGGCCTGATGACCATTGGCGCCATCGCGCGGAGCAAGGCGACGACGCCCGAGAACGAGAACGAGGACTTTGTGTGTCTCAAGGAGCAGCGAGATCTTGTTGTCAAGGAGCTGGGCTTGCAGCGGGAGCTGGAGCTGAGCATGGGTATGAGTGAGGACTTTGAGGGCGCGGTGAAGTTGGGGAGCGGGGAGGTTCGGGTGGGAAGTACGATTTTTGGGGAGAGGGGACCTAAGAGTGAGGCTAAGATTTTGGTTTAGCGGAGTTGGCGCGATGAGTTTTTGAATGTTGAATGAGTATTGGATGAGGTTGGATGAATGTAATGGAGGAAGTTGATAAACACTGGCTATAGGCAAGAGAGGTGAGTTCTAGGCCAGGAATGATGCGGTCTACAACCTGCCCCGAAGTAGTATTCACACGTATTGATGACGATCATAGATATATAAACCAAGTCACTAATGCTATTGCATTCATCCACCCCCTTTCTTTTAGTTTTACAACGTCTCAGTTGGTGATGCAATGAGCTATCATTGATGCGAACCATTCTCTCCAAGGGAGGCGCATAACTACGTAGTAGCTGACTTGAAGAGAGGAGATAGATGTAGGCACTTTGCACCATCTCCATTCTTTTTCCTCCTCAAGCTTTCGGAGTACGCGGCCTCATTTTTTACATGAGTGTGGAATTGTCCTTGCCCCCCACTCTCGCTCCTGATCGTTTTGCATCACTGCGAACGGTCTTCCTAAACATTTCTCCTCTCATTCATACAAGTTCTTCAGTGCCATACCGAGCAGCGTGAACGCACTAGATCCTCCAGATACATGCTAGGCTTGCCATTCACACGACGTCGGGGAAGCCTCATTTTTGATACCAAGCCTCCAGTCTAAGAATCAATAATGTGCCAAGTGGGCGGCTGAACAAGACAAGCAGCACAATAGATGAACTTGAGGCTAGCTATGACACTCAGTCACATCACGACAAGAAGACTGACGATAATGGGAGAAAGGTTCATCCTGCATTGGCGGGAAAGCGTGTTAGTGCACGAAGGATCATTTATTTTTTAATTTTTTAATGGGTTTATATTGAGTACATAAACCCGAACGAACGAATCAGAGTAGAACCAATCGGCCTAACTCGAAATGTAGGAACTCAAGCGAGAGCCTAATACCAGAACTCCTTCTAATGCCCCCCAAGTCGTGGTGTCTTATTGCACCGGGTATATCACCCAAGGAGAATCCAAACTCCACATAATGCTCCCGAAAGCATGGTGTCTTTTTTGTACCGGGCATCTATGCCGCACCTGCCCTCCCTTTTCTTGGGTGCGGTGTTCTCTCTCCTCATACCAGAGAACCACACGCCCACAAACTCCCCGATTCCCAATACCCTCCTTTGCTTAGTCGTATTGGGCAATGATCTCGTCGACCTCATTCGCCAGGACGGTGTAGATGAAGTCTTGCTCATCCGTAACGAACACAGCGTTGATCTTGGCGTCGAAACTGTCAAGTTCCGGATTGCTGTCGAATAGTTCGTAGGTCAAGCGGCGGCCATCAGCCCAGAGGTCGGAGTTGCTTTGGGTGAGCATCTCTATGAGCTTGGCAAGGATGTTCGTCATCTTCTTGGCCTTCTGACCGACTTCTACCAAGCGACTTCGGTATTCCGGAAGCTGGTGCGTCTTGGGATCATCTGCCCTCAGGATATCCCTAAGTCGCCAGGGCTCGATCGGGATGCCCATTCTGCGGAAAACTTCAAGAGTTGGAGCGGCTCCAGCCGCGACTTGGCAACGCTCTTGGGGTCCGCTATAGGACTTGCAGAAGTGGTGGCAGATCTGGGCGACCCTGACGAGATGGGCGTTGAGGGCAACGCGGAGGCTCTCGTACTTGTCGATGATGGTTTTGTTGGTGCGGCCATCTTTCCCGTCAATCTCGCACGCCGTTCCGCTCTTTTGGCACTTGGAACAGGCGTGGCCGGGGCTCCCGTCGCACTTTGTCTTCTTTCTGCGGCACGACTTGCAGGAGAAGGCCCTGACGGCGCGAGCGGGCTTGTCTGGCGTGGCCTTCTTTGCCTTGCGCGGAGCTTTGGCTTTGCCCTTGCCGTTGCCTCTCTTCTGGACTCTTGCGTCCTGGTTGTTTGGGCCGAGGGCGTCCCTGACGACGTTGTCGTCGACTGAGGGAGAGCTGTAGTCCTCGGCTATGTTGTCGGCGAAGAAAGGGCTGCTGCCGGCCTCCATGTCGTCGATGGGGGTAGAGTTGCCACCGAAATCCAAGTTATAGGCCGGATTGGGGATGTTGCTACCCGCCATATCGTCGTCGAGAAGATAGTCATTACTACCGACATCCTCGTCCAATTCCGAACTGAATACGTTGCCGCCGGCGGAAGCGCCAGGCGCGAAGAACGAGGGCTCAGAGGGGACAGGAATAGGGGCGGGGGGAAGAGCAGGGCTATTCAAACAAAGCATTTGCTCTTGGAAGTAATCTCCCCCGTTGTTACTGGCGTCCATGTCCCCGGCCTGGTGAGCTTCATTGTCGAATACTCCGGCGCCAGGGCTGACGCTAGAGGTCATAGTGCCGTTCGAACCTGATGGGAAGGCCGACGGAGACGAGTTGGCGACCATCTCGCTCAACAGGTTTTGGATCTCCTCGCTGCTCCAATCAATGTCTTGGGCGTACTCAGGCACGACCATGTTAAGACTTTCGTCCCAGCTCTGCCTGACCGGGATGTACTCCGGCTTCATCTCGTAGTTCTGGTAATCCATCTTGTTTGTTGGTTGTAATGAGTATGAAATGAGAGGAGTTGTAGTTCAATTGGATTGATGAATGTAGGCCAGATGGACTGTAGTGTGATGAAGACTAGAGAAGCTGACAACCACAAGACAGAGGAATGCTTAGCACTTTATAGGAGACAGGAAGAAGCAGAAGCTACAGAGGTTCACGATGTTCCCGCACCCCGGGAAGCATAAGTTGAAGAGGTTGTATCTCCGACGATGCCTTTTTGGCTAATGTACACGTCAAAGAAGCAAAATGGCGGCAAGCAGAGGGGTTCAGGAGTGTAAAAAAGCCACTCAGTGACTGGTATCTGAAGGCAAATGCCCGGGCGCCCAGGTACAGCAAACATAGTTCGGAGTGGGAGTGGTAGCTGGATGACATTTCTGTCCAGGTCGGTGTTCTGGGTATACATCACTTTGGGTTATCAAAGAATGAAAAGAGGGGATTGGTCACAGTCTAAGGAGTCTGGTAGCGAGTGGAGCAATTGACGCGGAGATAGAGGGAGTTGAGGATGTGAGGGCTTGAGGATTCGAGCGCTTGAGGATTACAGACATTGCGGTTCATTGAGGGAGGTGTTTACGACTTGAGAGCATGTCATGTGACTCTTTCCGGTATAGAGATGCCACTTCTGGATGTTGAAACGCAACGATATCAATTGAACTTCTGTTGTGCCAACTTGAACGATATTCATTGCATTTAAATTCGCTGTGATACCAATCTCAAGATCATTACTGAATACCAGTTCTACAAGAGTGGGCGATGCTCGAGGCAACGAGTGTCCAGTCTGCTCACACTTCTTTAGACCATTGAAGGCTGGAGTCACTGTCGTTCCTTGGTTCGACACGCAGCCACTCCGGGCTGCCAGACGCAAAGACCAAGAGTACAAACTGCTCTAGGTACCAATTGGCCGTCCATGAAGTCCTCAATCATCCAATCCTTAGATCCGTTAAGGTACTCTTGACTTGGAAGACCTAGACGCCGGGTTGTTGAGGGCACTTTACATTCCTTTTTGTTGCAGAGAGTTTCATGGAATCCTGGGTGAAAGTCAAATGGACTGAAGAGTTTGCTGTCCAGTTGACCAAGCCACCAGCAATGACACTTGGCCAAATGTTGAATGTGTTTGCTTCTGCGTTGGCCCTACTGTGCAGCAGAGGAAAATGAAAGTCCGGTTTTTGACCGTAAGTCGGTGTAAGTGATCCGTGTAAGTGAGCCGTGTGTTGGTAAAAAGTCAATAGAGTGTCGTCGAGTGGTCGCCAGGGGTGGCGAAAATAAGGTTTCGGTTGAGTCAATTGAGTCCGCTGTGCCTGAAGATCCGCCCCACGAACACCCATAAGGCCAGCCGTCTTACTGGGTTGACCAATGGAATCTCCCCTACGCCGCCTGACAGATGCACCAAATGCCTGGTTCAACTGCCTTTCGCCTACTGCCGTACCTTATAATTTCACCGGTCTCGTTTATCGCAACTTCCTACATCCTTTCCTGACAATTTAAGGCGTGTCGAGCACAGCACAGAAATCCCCCTTCAAATCGTCCTTGAGAAGGAACAGGCAGATGAGTGTGAAAGCAAGGGCCTCCTAAGATTCATCGGAGATAGCAAGAAAAAAAATCTGCAAACCATGTTAGTTCACACCATCACGCTGTGTCGATGTGAGCGGGAAGGTGGCGATGGAGCGGAAGAAATCTTGGACACTGTGTTAAACACACAAAGACCCGGACTCTGAGGAACCCGGCAGAGGAGGTACCTGGACATGAGGGGTGTCTTTCTTCAGGTACCTTACGATGGAGCGCTCGTCCAGGCATGAGAGTAACTTTTTCGAAATTTCACTTCCCGGACAAAGAAGTGGCGGTACTGCTCCTCTCTCCGGCGGGAAGTAGATGCCAGACTTTGAAGCGGAAGCAAAGGGTCCAGCCAGGTATCCAAAATTGGGATACCCAGCTGCCCCCCCAAGTGTTTTGTGTCTTCTATGGGCTCTCAGATGATAGAAAGACTGGGAGGCTGATGCCAAAACTGTGGGTGGAGAGGTTTCATGAAAGCCATTGGTGGAATCTGTTGTGTCTGAAGTAGCCGTCATGGTCGATATCGCCTTGATCAACAGCCATGTCTCGCATCTACAGGGACACGATAAGAAGTGAGCCCTGTAGTTTACTGCTGAAGGACTCTTCTAGCATCTCCCGGCCGGCAATAAGGAACCCAGCCAGCATCGACTATCTCACCTGGAGCAACGTTGAGAACGATTGTAGAATTCTTTCTCTTACAGCCTGGACCCCGTCACCAGTAGTATAGCCAAGCGGCAGAAGACACATGTTACACACTAGGACTGTCCATGAAGCCAAGAGCATTACCCATATCCTCAACCACTGGCCGACACTCTTTTTATTGGCGATGAGCGGCAGCTGAGCATAGGCATCAAACGGTAAGATAAAACTGTGAGTCTCAGTTGTATCGATGAGTTCTAGACCAGTACATACTTGAAACGGGATGCCAATTGAGCCCTGTTGTTTGCCATACTTCGTCATCCTCGAGGCCAATTGTCTTTCCAACCCAGGCTGTATCCCAGTTACGGAGAGGTACTTACAGCCCGTCCCGAGATTGAAGGTCAAGATTCCTCGGCAGCGGCCTCGCTGTAAGGTGGACAACGGTCCAAGTCAGTGTCGGTTAGTGTATCAGGAGGGAGCTTATATAGAGTCTGACTGTGCTATCCCACATGCCTTCCCTTACTCTTGCTGCGGGCCCACAAAAGGTCCGAGTCAGCGATCATGATAAAAATGCCATGAATCTTTCCAAGATGGTTTCTAAGAGGCTAATGGTATGAGAATCCTATTCAGAATTAGACAGTATCCAGAAGTGAAGATTCTGCAGCCGCCAAAGTGAGCATAATTTGGGTGTCCTTTGGATCGCGGAAAGAGAGATCGACGTTCTCGTTTACGGGGCGATTTACGGAAATCTGGGTAAATGAGTCAAGCTAGATGCAACCCAATTGACTTGGAATTATGACATAGCGTCACTTGTAAGAAAATGTAGCGCGATGGCTAATCGCAATGGGATGCACAGTTATGAACGATACAAGGATAAAGCACGCTGAATCAACGCGATGAGAGCCATCCCCGTTTCATTAATAAGCTATCAAAGCAACATGATGAATGTGTTGATATTAGATCGAACCGATTCCTTCCAACAGCATCCCATTATCTCACAGCAAGGACAAACATAGGCCAATAGTGACAGCTACGAACGGAAAAGCCATCGGAACTCTCAACGAACCCGCAGCGCCATCAGGACCGCTGCCCCTCGAAGTAGCCGTTGTAGTTCCCTCGGCGGTTGTGGTGGCCGAAGTCTGGAACGGGTAAGAAAAGTTGACTACAGCGGAGACGCCAGGGCAGACACCCTCGAGAAGCTGCTTGGTGTACAGTTTTTCTGCCTGGGATGGACAGACAAAAGACAAGCATACTCTAGTTTAGGCATGAGCATATCTACTTCGTCGCCACACGTCGTGTAAAGTGGTAGAATGGGAGGGATACTCACCGTGCGATACTCTTATGTGCCGGACACAAGCAATCCGTCATGACTCCGCCGGCATCCGATGCGTCGTTGTTCTTGAGGGTTCTGGTTACGTACGGTGCGCAGCTTTCCGACCAGAACTGGTCCAGCATGACGGAGTTTGTGCAAGAAGAGTAGAACCTATATAGTCTGTCAGTCAGTCGCTCTCGATCACTGAGGTAGTTGGAGGTTATCTTACATCCATGGCCTTATTAGGCCTCTGGTCGTACACTCCTCGTCCCAAGGGGTGATCCGCGGTTTTGATGGCCCGGCCAATGTGGGCATGATAGCAGGCACCGACTGCGTCTGTATCGCAGTCTGTCCCGAGACAAGTTGAGGCATCAGCCATATGAAGAGGGCGAGAAGAGGCAGGAAAGCCCCTTTCACTGAATTGCTGAATTGTTCCATTGTGGGCGTGGAGGTTTGAAGCATGATAAGGTGAAGATTGCACGTAGACGTTTGGAGAAGGCCCACGCAGAATGATTACCTTACTATACGACGCCTCGAGAGGGTAGTTGCCCCCTACGGCGCAGCTCGCCACGCGCGTACGCGATTCTTGAATGAAATCCAGACATTTAGACTGCTCATGAGACTATTAGACTACTTAGGGAAACCGCACTCGGTCCAATACGTTACACTCTGCTTGCTGTGCCGCCCAGTTGCATCTCAGGATCACGGCTAAATGGTGTACGCCAATCTTGAGCGCGAAAGGCCCTTGTCCAATCTCGTATTTTGATTCATACTGAGAGACGAGGCAGACTTTAATGAACAGACGTAAGCAACTGGGAGATAGTAGAAGTTTGTATTTTGCAATACGACATCGTGCCATTGAGATGTAGGGATGGTAGTTGCGCTTGAGACGTTGGACTAACACGAATGTGTGAACAGCTGCCACCAGGCGGCGCCACTCGTCACTGGCCGAGGCATTGTGGAAGCCGACGATATGCGGCCAAGCTCCCCATGCCCCAGCTCTTCTCCAAGACCTCTGTAACTTGCCGATCGACCCCTCGTTGCCATTCCTCATTCAATTCAACCTCAAAATGCTTGCCATTCGCCCATCAGTCTGTAGGGCGTGCCGAAAGGCCCAGATCCGCCCGGCGAGAGCGTTCGCAACCGCCAGCGGTCCCATCCAGCAGCCGCCCCGCGACACCTATGTGAAGCTCGTCGAGGTCGGTCCTCGCGATGGCCTCCAGAACGAGAAGAAGACGATACCCCTTGCGACCAAGATCGAGCTGATTGAGAGGCTCGCCAAGACCGGTGTGTCTACAATTGAAGGAGGTTCCTTTGTCTCGCCGAAATGGGTTCCCCAGGTAAGCTTACCCAAGTGGCCTGATGAATCTTGGGATCAGTGTTGCTGACGGTTGAACGGTTACAGATGGCCAATTCAAGCGAAATTCTTGAGCACCTCCTCACCCGAAAGGTCTCCTCTCCAGCCCAAACATCATACTCATTCCTCGCACCGAATATCAAGGGTCTGCAGAACGCCCAGGCGCTGCTAGCCAAATACCCCGGCGCATTCGCATCACAACTCCAGCCCTCAGCTGATGCTTCGACCCCCGCCGTCGAAGTTGCCGTTTTCGCGGCAGCGACCGAATCGTTCTCGAAGAAGAACCTCAACTGCGACATTGCGACGTCACTAGACCGCTTCCGCGAGGTCATTCGCGAGTCAAAGGCGGCCGGCCTCCGCGTTCGCGCATACGTCTCTGTGGTCCTCGGCTGCCCCTTTGAGGGGTACGACGTCGACCCGCACAAGGTCGCCGAGATCTCGACGGAATTGCTGGAGTCGGGCGCCGACGAGGTGTCTCTTGGCGACACCACCGGCATGGGAACCGCTCCCCGGACTAAGGAGCTGCTGAACTGCATGAGGGCGGCGGGAATCCGCAACGAGGATATCGCGATGCACTTCCACGACACGTACGGCCAGGCTCTGGTTAACACGGCCGTGTCTTTGGAGCATGGCATCCGTACGTTCGACAGCAGTGTTGGCGGTCTTGGAGGATGCCCTTATAGCCCCGGTGCGACTGGCAATGTGGCTACGGAAAACATGATTTACTTTATTGAGAGTCTGGGTATGGACACTGGTATTGATCTGGACGCCATGTCGGATATTGGTGCTTGGATCACGGGCGAGTTGAGCAAGGCCAACGACAGCACTGTTGGAAAGGCTGTTTTGGGCGCCAGATCTCGTGAAGCGGCGACAGCGTAGTCTTGAGTTTCTTGAGAATTGAATTGGAGTTTGGGATGGATTTGTCAGTTCTCGTCTTGATATGTACCATCGTATAAGTTCATTCTGCCCTGAGATGCCCAGGAAAGACGTGTTGGATGAATGTTGAGGTGCCTCGTACCTTCAGGTTGGAGTGCGGGCAGTCATGTGATGTCACTGCCACAATGTGTGACTGCTAGCGCCCAAGCTGACACTGAGACCGATAATGGCACACTGGGAAGCTCCCAGGCGTGCAAGGCCCGCGTCCCCAGTCACCAGTGATCTTATCGGCGCCACCTCAGCTTGCCGAGCGGGCTCCACCAAGACGAAGCAAGCTCCAATGCAGTGCATTCGACGACACTGCACCGACCTGCCAACCTCCTCCAGCTACGTACATCGCAGCGCCTCGCATCGTCTCCATCAATCCGCCCGCCCACGCCCTTCCTAATCGCCCCCCTCCGACCCAACACGCATTGTCTTCTAAGCCGGCGCTGTCTCGCTGATAGTCAGAAGCAATGAGTGACCCGCGGGAGCCCTCTTACTCCATCGTGCCGAGAATTCGGTACAACACCGTCGGCGGTGTCAACGGACCCCTCGTCATCCTCGAGAATGTGCGTCGTCGCCGAGTCGCGCTGGAGTTCCCACCAGCAAATTGTATGAATTAGGCACTGACTCTGCGTCTAGGTCAAATTCCCCAGATACAACGAGATTGTCTCCCTGACCCTGCCCGATGGAACCAACAGACAGGGACAGGTCCTCGAGGCTCGAGGTATTTACATAACGTCACTCTTCTGCCCAATGACCAGTGTGCTAACGAACATCTATAGGTGACCGAGCCGTCGTCCAGGTATGCGAAAACGAGCGATCACACGAGAAACACCGATTGACGATGGAAACAGGTCTTTGAGGGAACATCAGGCATCGATGTTAAGAAGGTATGAGATCATCGCATCTCGACAAATATGACGAGCGCTAAAACTCTAGCCAGACCAAAGTCGAGTTCACCGGCCAGAGCTTGAAGCTTGGTGTGTCGGAGGACATGCTGGGCCGTATCTTTGACGGTTCCGGACGAGCTATCGACAAGGGCCCCAAGGTCCTTGCCGAGGACTACCTCGACATCAACGGCAGTCCCATTAACCCCTTCTCCCGTGTACGTGATGCTCCCGAAGATCATGCCATGGCCTTATATTCTGACAGACTGTAGGAATACCCCGAGGAGATGATCTCGACCGGTATCTCTGCCATCGACACCATGAACTCCATCGCTCGTGGACAAAAGATCCCTATTTTCTCTTCGTCTGGTCTGCCGCACAACGAAATTGCCGCCCAGATTTGCAGACAGGCCAGTTTGGTCCAGAAGCAGGGCATCACCAACAAGGGTGTCCACGACGGCCACGAGGAGAACTTCTCCATTGTCTTCGGTGCCATGGGTGTCAACTTGGAAACCGCCAGATTCTTCACCCGCGATTTCGAGGAGAACGGCTCTTTGGAGCGTGTCACCCTCTTCCTCAACCTCGCCAACGATCCTACGTGAGTTTTGATATCAGAATGTCCCGTGAAGGAATGTGCAGACTGACAAGCATACTAGTATCGAGCGTATCATCACTCCTCGTCTCGCGCTTACGACCGCCGAATACTACGCCTACCAGCTCGAGAAGCACGTTCTCGTTATTCTTACCGATCTGTCTGCTTACTGCGACGCTCTTCGTGAGGTCTCAGCCGCCCGTGAAGAAGTCCCGGGTCGTCGTGGTTACCCCGGGTACATGTACACTGATTTGTCCACCATTTACGAGCGCGCCGGTCGTGTGGCGGGTCGCAACGGTTCCATCACCCAGGTGCCCATTTTGACCATGCCCAACGAGGATATCACTCACCCCATTCCCGATTTGACGGGTTACATTACGGAGGGCCAGATCTTCGTCGACAGAGGCCTTTACAACCGTGGTATCTATCCGCCCATCAACGTTCTGCCGTCTCTGTCTCGTCTCATGAAGTCTGCCATTGGTGAGGGCATGACCCGCAAGGACCACGGCGATGTTTCCAACCAGCTCTACGCCAAGTACGCCATTGGTCGTGACGCCGCTGCCATGAAGGCTGTCGTCGGTGAGGAGGCTCTGTCAGCCGAGGACAAGCTTTCTCTGGAATTCCTCGAGAAGTTTGAGCGCCAGTTCATCAACCAGGGCCAGTACGAGGCTCGCACCATTTACGAGTCTCTCGACCTCGCATGGAGCTTGCTCCGTCTCTACCCCAAGGACCTGCTCAACCGTATTCCCGGCAAGATTCTGAACGAGTTCTACCAGCGTGCGGCCAAGGAGGCCAAGGACAAGGGCAAGCAGAGACAGCAGGTGCAGCAAAACGAGGAGAACCTGATTGACGCATAAGCGGAGACGCCGAATGCGGGTGCTTGATATCCCCGAGAAGTCGGCAGCGTAGTAGGACAATCGGTCGACGTTGTGTATACGTATGAGGGGGCACGAGAGTGTGAGATGGGCAACTTTTGGACCTAGACAATGGCATGCAATTATTAGTTTCTACACATGCCATGTCTCAGTGATGTTCTTGTGTTTGTGGAAGATGTGCGCGAATTTTTTCATTATTTACAGAACTGTCTTCTTGAAATCCCAACGAGCAATGCCATGTTTAACCTAGAGCTGAGCAGAAGAGTCAACGCGGACCCACGGTGAGTGACATCGAGGCTTATGATGGTCAAGATCCAGTCTGCAGCGGGTTGGCACGAATGAACCATGGCACGGACCAACGTCGTCAGCCAGGCGCACCGCCTCAGTGAACCCCACATCCTCCACACCGAGCCAACTCCCCACCATTAGCATGCGGCTACCTTACCTTACCTCACCTCCCGACCTTACCTGACGCAAGACGACTGTTCCAGCGCAGAGCAAATCCGACGAAACTACCTACTTCAACCATATCAACTACCGACGGCAAACCGAAACTCTACCATAGTAATACTTACTGCCTTTCAATACCGACTTTGAACCGAACCGAACCTCTCTCTGCGTAGCGTAGCACAGCGGGCGACAGACACATACAAGATGTCCATTCACCGGGAGCTCAACGCCGCCTCGCTCAGCGACGCCTGGCGGACCATCAACATTGACGCGCTGCAGGAGGACTCGGCGTGCAACTTTGACACCAGCACCCTGCGGCCGTCGCAGCCCGAGATTGGCGAGGACGAGGTCCGGCAGCTCGCGGGCCAGGTGCGGCAGCTGCTCCGCGGCGGGGACGCCGAGGGCGCGTTGAGGGGATGTTTGGAGTTTCCTGTGTACAATGGACCTGATGGCGCCAAGGTGAGATATACATTTGTTCTTCTACGGGCTTGAGTGAGCCCCTCACGGAGCTCAAGAAAGGAGAGACGAGTTTGCTGACCGAGCTATTTCACAAACAGGACGCACACCTCCAGACCATCACCGAGGTCCTCCAGTCCATCAAGGCTTCCGAGATGACGCCCCTTCTCAAGTCCATCTACGGTGGTCCCGGTGGACCCGAGCTTCTCGACGTGCTGATGAAGTACATTTACAAGGGCATGGCCGGCTCTGCTGGTTCCGGGGGCTTGAGGTCGCCGCCGCCGCAGGCTGCGCCGAGCGGGTTCAGCCAGATGAGCGGTCGCCCCGGAGCCACCAACGAGAACGTCGGTAGCGCGATGAGCGTGTTGCTTAGCTGGCATGAGAAGGTTGTTGACGTGGCTGGGTTGGGAACTATTGGTCGTGTCATGACGGATTGGAGACGAGTTTAAGTTGAAGATCAGATGAGGAAGAAAGAAAAAAGGGGGGTAATGAACTTCATGACGAGTATGGGCATGCTCGGGACTTTGGGCGTGTCTTTTTTTGACGAATTCAAATTAGAAAAAGACTGGGCGTGCCGACAAATGAAAGCCATAGAATTTGTTTTGATTCTTTCTTTTACAGGTTTTACAGTTGTTTCTCACAAATGTGCCAGGTGAAGCATCATGTCTACTAATTGGACTCTAAGATGTCCTTGAGATTCACGTCTCCGCTTCCTCTGGGCAGAGCCGTGGGCTGGTCGCCGCCTTCGTGCCACCCGATCATGTAGATGATTCTAAACGTGGCGGGGATGCTCCCGTCCTCGTTGCCGTGGAGCTCCCTATAGATGCCCTCGTTAGCCAGCAGCACCTCCCTCCTGATGGCGCCCATTTCCCTGCCGAGGATCGCGTTGCCCTCGCCCATGGCCTGCAGGTCCTGCATCAGTGCAAAGGTATCGGGATAGTCTACGACAATGTCGTCGACGTCGACGGTCAGCATCTTGAAGCCGGCGCGCTGCATCAGCCCGCCCACGTCGCGGACGTCGGCGAGGGGAGAAACGTGCGGGGAAATGCCGCCGCGGCGCTCCTGCTCGGCGAGCTGCAGGGAAGTGCGCAGCTCAAAGAGGCTGTCGCCGCCGAGCATGGCACCGATGAAGGGGGCGTCTGGCTTGAGGACGTTGTTGATTTGCGTAAGGACGCCGGGGAGGTCGTTGATCCAGTGTAAGGACAGGGAGGAGAGAACGAGGTCGAAGGAGGCGGGCTCGAAGGGTACGTGTTCCTCGTCGACGAGGACGGTGCGGGTGATGGAGATGTCTTTGTTGAAGGGGAGGTCGGCGTCGCGGTGGAGGAGGGCGTGGGAAGACTCTGCGGCGACGAGCTCGCCTATGCGGGTGGCGAGGGGTTCCGAGATTGGTTTTGAGGGGTCCGGGTCGGGGTTCTCACGGGTGAGGGCGCGGGCTACGTTGCAGGAGTTTGCGCCTAGATCGAGGGCGCGGGGGAAGTTTCGTTTGATGTCCTGTTGGAGGGCAAAAATGTGTTAGTGTCTGGTAGCTTTCTAGAGGCATTGGTCATTGTTGGTGCTGTCAGATTGAGCTCTGCCGTAAAGCAATGCTCCGGGGGCTGCGGGTGGTGGTTGTAGTGGTGGTGATGTTCTCACAAGTAACCTCTCGCACAGCCGGTTTGCGACTTCATCCTTGAGATAGTCTGCTTGCCGGCTGGCCTCGGGATTCGATGCTGCGCGCTCCTTTTGCAGCCATTTTGTGCGACGGTTGAAGACCTGAAAGGCAGCAGAGCCGCCGCCGGATGTTATAGCGTAGGACCGGCGTGTGGTTGTGAAGGAGGGTCCGGCGAGGAACCGGGAGCTCGGTGCGGCGGCGAGGCACACCACCCGTCTGATCGTGGAGCTCATCACCGGCGTCGCATATCTGCAACGGAGCGCGGAGGCGGACATGTGGGAAAAGGTTTTGTGTGACCTTTTAGAATTGAGAATCCTGCAGGAGAACGAAGAGGTGGCCACAGCTGTGATATGTGGTAGGATTTGGGTTTTTTGTTGAACAAAAGAAGGTTTTCTTATTATGGATTGACAGACGGGAAGGGAGCTCTTTCCTTCTCCATGGGAATTTCAGCAACTTCGATGATGCAGCACTTTGGTTCGGCTTGTCAGCACACTTTGGAGCTTGCCAATTGACGGGAACCTATCGAGTTTAGCGCGTATCTATACGTACCTCTTGACTGGGGGAGGTGTCGCTGCTGCACGGGCCCGTAGCGTGCGTGCCCCCGGTCAAAGTCCCCTCTCTTGAGTTTCTGTCTCCCCAAATTCCTCAGTCAGCAACGGGGAGCATGTTCAATGGCTTGAGAATTCGCTGGATGGAAGTACCTTGCAACACCCCTGACGCGCCCAGTCTTCAAGCAGCGGCCACACTGCGCGCACAGCAGCAAGGCCGCCCGTGAAGAGCCCAGTTCTAGGGGGGACAAGTGTGACAAGCAAGCACCTGATAGACGCTGGGACGCTTACCTGACGGTCCTGACGTCCAACTCGCAGCAGCTCTTGCTGCCCGTGTTGCGTGTTGTAGACATCCGAAATGCTCTCGCTGAGGTGAGAGGTACATCACCTGTAAATAAGTACAAGCAGAGGTACCTCGGAGTGGTTTGACAGGCCCGTTCAGACGTCCAATGTGCGGGTGGCCCATCTCCACACATTGGCTGCATTCCCAATCCCAAGCCTTCCGGGCTTCTCTAAAGTGTCGTTTTCTCCCAAGCCCGCGAAAGCCCCTCGAACCCCTTTCTTTGGAGTTTTGTTTCCCATTTCCCACTTTCGCCCAGTGCAACATCGCGAATCGACGCCGAAACCCTTACAAGGCCGAACTCAATCTCGAGTCAAACCACCAGCTCCTGTCCTCTCGACAATCCCCCTGGTTGCATCTTCATTGCTCGACGGGAACGCATTGCTAAGACACGCAGCGGCACTTGCCGGCCGGTTTCGAGTTCGAGTCGCCGAGTCCACAATCCCGCCGTCCACCGATCCGACCGTTGATCTCCCCAAAAACTCCACGCAGCAATCAGCAGGCCAGCTGGGGTAAGCGAGCAGAAATACGAAAAGAAAGGACCCCTCGCGCGCGCATGGAGTGATTGCCCAACGCTCGCACCGGAGCAGACAACAACACACGACCCGACGCCAAATACACCACCCATCGATTCCGCATCCGCGCCGCTCTATTACGAAACTCCCGTAGCGAGTCCAACAACATCCGCCAGCCCAACCCCGATCATCCCGCGCAGAAGAGGGGGGAAGGCATTTTGGAGGGCAGAGGAGACAGCTTTAAACAGATAACCCGTCGAACCCGGCACATACCGCAGCCATGTCGTCCTCCGCGAGCGGCTTCCTCGGCCGCTCGACTAGCAACAACTCCAACATGCGAGGGTTGGTGCAATTTATCGCCGACCTGAGAAACGCAAGAGCTAGGGAGCTGGAAGAGAAGAGAATCAACAAGGAGCTGGCCAACATTCGGTGAGCACGCATCTCCCGGCATGTCATGCTGCGCTGTCTCGCGACGGAGTACTAACAAGAGTTCCTACATGTAGACAAAAGTTCAAGGGTACGAGTCCATTGCTGCGGTCGGCCGGCCAGCGCGATCCCGGTGTGCTAACTCCTGTGTAGATGGAAATTTGAGCGGTTACCACAAGAAGAAATACGTGTGCAAGGTACGGACTGTCCTGAACTGCTCTGGCTGATGTCTCGTGCTGACAATCTATGAAGCTTCTCTACATCTACATCCTCGGATGGAACGTCGACTTTGGCCACCTCGAGGCCGTCAACCTCATTTCTGCGAACAAGTACTCGGAGAAGCAGATTGGATACCTCGCCATGACCCTGTTCCTTCACGAGAAGCACGAGCTGCTGCACCTGGTCGTCAACAGTATACGAAAGGACTTGTTGGACCACAATGAGCTATTCAACTGCCTGGCTCTCCACGCAATTGCCAACGTTGGTGGCAGAGAAATGGGAGAGGCCCTGAGTGGAGAGGTTCACAGACTGCTGATTTCGCCGTACGTCCGGTCGACCCCCGAATATTATACCAATGACTAACAGCAGCAATCTAG